GAGGAAAGTTTTATTGGGGTTCTATAATTGTTTCATTCAATGGAGGAAAACATTATCATTACCATATACATTTTGTATTCCGAATAAAATGTAAAGAGGTGCTCTTTAAAATTTTGCACAATATTTACCCCTGTAATGCACTCTTGTTCAAACATTGTGATGTTACTGATATTTGCACCTTTTGTAAAAATGAGTGTGATTTGTCACTTTTTTTTTTCATGCAATGTATCATCATTGTTTGGAATGATTTCAGTTCATATTGATTTGATATAAATGGTAATTTGCACTTTAAGGATGTTATTTGGGGTGACGCAGTGGTCCAGTAGGTAGTGTAGTGCTGTCGTCTCACAGCAAGAAGGTCGCTGGTTAGAGCCTTGGCTGGGTCAGTTGGCATTTCTGTGTGGAGTTTGCATGTTCTCCCCGCGTTTGCGTGGGTTTCCTCCGGGTGCTCCGCTTTCCCCCACACTCCAAAGACATACGGTATGAGGTGAATTGGAAAAGCTAAATTGTCCATAGTGTATGAGTGTGTATGGATGTTTCCCAGAGATGGGTTGCAGCTGGAAGGGGATCTGCTGCATAAAACATGCTCTATAAGTTGGCGGTTCATTCCGCTGTGGCAACCCCTGATTAATAAAGGGACGTATTAAAGGGATGTTATTTGTTATTTTAAGAAACAAAAACAAGTCAGAAACAGATTAACAGTGGTTTCTTAAAAAAAGCTGTTTTTATAGACTTCTTATGTGAAATAGAAACATGTAATTAACTCACTTAAATTAATTGATAATAAGAAATGTGCTTCTTTCTTGAGTAAATATGCAACTTGAAACTAACAAGTGATATTGATGATTTTTTTAAGTATGGAGATTTGCCAAATAAAAGACTTTATTTGATGTACCTTTTTTTAATTAAATAAAGTGATTTTGGGGGGAAGGGTGTGGAGGGAAGGGGTATAAATTCTTATTTTACCCTTTTAGAAAAGTTGAAAATCAGCAGAACATCTTATATTAATGCCATAAATGGCACATGTATTGCAAAAATAATATCTGACTACTTCTGTTTTCCAATACAAATGTCTAAACATATTTAAATCAAGATACATTTGCTCAAACTTCAATAAGATGAAATTTAAGCTAAGTCAGATAAGGCGTAAAAGAAGAACAAAAATAGTTTTCTGTTTGAATTAAGATTTTTCAGAGGAACATATAGATATTTGTTTGATGTAACCATAAAGTTGCAACATTTTGATCAATTTTACAAAGAAGACTTACATGTAAATGCATCTTTGATTAAAGAATCGTATAACAGTTGAACTAGAAATGACACAAAAACACTGAAGTAAACACTTATATGTCATATTTATATATTGATTAACATAAGTGCCGCATTCATAAATGTGCACAAACACACAGACACACACCACAAAACAAACACACACAGAGCTGATCTGAGGGTAAGCTGTATTGTAATAATGAATTTCAGTAAGCTTTATTGATGTTAATGTTGCATTATTGTTAATTTGTTTTTCTAAAATTGTCACAATATAATATTGTATTCTATTATGATTTATTGTACTGCCCTTGTGATAATTTGATATCCAAATATGCTAATATATGTTGATAGTGCTCATTGTAAATTACTTAAATTACTATCCAATGAGAGTTTTAAAGGTTAAGGTTCCTTACCTCTGTGTAGCAAACCCAAGGGAAGGATAAGCGGCTCTCAGTGGGAGCTTTTTACTGTAATTGGAGTATGATTCCACTGTTGTTTTGTTTCTATGAAATTTCTGCTTAGTCATAATTAAAAAAAAATCTTTAGGTGCAACTGATTACATCTGTAACTTTCCACAGTACAGGCATGATAAAGCAAAATGAGGCTGATTTGCAGTTTCATATTTATTTTTCAAAATACAGATTTGTTTAATAACTTACTTAACACATTCACTCATCTATTAATCAATTCACTCACTCATCCGATCATTCGGATATTCAGACAGACATCTGAATGCAAAATATTGATTTGCCTTCATAACATTTGACACTTTCTGCTGCCAAAATACATCATTAATAAGTATTTAACAAACATTAAAAGCAGACTTGCATATACATTTGGTACACAATGTTAAGGTTTGTCAATTTTATTACATTTAAATCCATTGCACTTTCGCTATAAATTTACTTTTTCAATTAAGTTTTTCATAAGCTTTACCATGAAGTCTTTATCCTGAAAAAAAAGAATAAATAAAATGCATCACAATTTACATTCAATTAACTATTCACATCCTGTTGGCCAATTCTTTAAATATCTCTCTAATCACCTGATTATAAACATCTCGTGTCCTTTTTGGATCTTCAAGCTGAGCCTGAAGAGCAATTTTCAGCATCTCCTGAGTGATGAGCTCCTTCAAATCCTCTGAACTCCCTGATTCTCCCATAATATTCCTATCTGGTTTTACGGGGAACGGGGAATCCTGGAGCTGGCTGTTTGAAATGCTCTTTTTGCCCATAAAATGACCTGAACAAAAGAACTCAATCGTTTAAGTAATGGTTTTCATTTTAATATAAAAATACACAATGAAACAACAACGTACCTGTTGCCCAAAGATTTCCACGTGGATGCACTTTTATTTTCGAAACTTTATTTCGCAGCTCCGTTAAATCGAGACTGACTGAAGTGCTCAGTGATACGTTGAAAAGCATTATGAGCGCGAATAACAATGTATATTTGCAATGTCCATCATCAGCCATCTTCTCAGGTAACTCTCGGCGGATTCCTCCGGTCAGATTGAGCTGGTTCTTCTGCAGGCTGTTTTTATACCCCCTCAATGGGGTGTGATGCCGGCGGGTTCTGAGGTCACAGTTTAGTCATTGAATGCACACAGAACGACAGCAAGTGTTTGGTCTGTTTGGATGAGGATGGGAAACGCTTTGTGACGTGCGTTGGCTGTGCGCGCATGCAGTTTAATGGAATTAATAGAATGGAAAATCGTTTTGAGGCGTCGAAATCAATCTTACATTTCAATAGTTATGAGTCGCATGTGTGAATATGTACCGTGGTTCTGAGGAACTATATGACTCATTGTTAATAAGATTTTACAGTAAAGTTTAATTTGGCTACATTAGTTCACCCAAAACTGAACATTTGTCATCCTTTACTAACTCTTTACTTGTTCCACCTGTCTGAGTTATTTCAAGAAGATATTTTTAATAAAAGGTGAAAACTGGCCTAACAATTTACTTGGATAGTGGGCTATTTGTTTTTTCTACTGTGGAAGTCAGTGGTTTACATGTATTTTTAACCCTTTAACTGCATGCTCTACCAAATGCTTAACCATATTTTGACTGTTTTACAAAACGGTTTACACTACACGGCAGTTTGTTTAAAAAAAAAAAAAAAAAAAAAAAAAACAATCCCGTTGCACTACTACACTTGACTTTGTTTATTGTAAAAAATTTTTTTAATAACAATTACATAAAAAAACAATATAAACAATAAAAAAAACATCTTTTTAGTCCCTTTATTCATCAGGGGTCGCCACAGCGGAATGAACTGCCAGCTTATCCAGCATATGTTTTGCACAGCGGATGACCTTCCAGCCGCAACTCAGCTCTGGGAAGCATCCATTCAGCATGTTAAATGAGAATCTGAAATATTTGATGGCATACTTTAAAAAATAAAGATGATTTATTATTCAAAAACATTTCATTTTCATTGTTTTTAAATAAATTGATCGTACACTCTTACGTCAATTTTTCTGATTTTTCCTAGCATATGTATTCATTTTGGTACTTTACTATAAACCAACATATCTACCATTTGGTAGAGGTTGATATTTAAAAAAAATATGGGTTAAGCGTGCAAAAAAATAAAACTCTTTGCGGGCCAGGTAAAGGGTTAAAATATCTTTGTGTTGAACAGAAGAAACTGATAAAGGTTATAGTGAATAAAGGTTATTGTGAGTAAATTGTAATTTTTGGGTGAAATATGTGAATAATGTGTAACAAGGAAAAATAGGTTACAGGTCTGTTAGTGATTTTTTAAAAAGAACATTTACTCTCAATTTACTCAAATAGTTTCATACACTCATGGTTTTATTTTGTTATTTTGAAAAAAAAAAACACACACACAAGAGGATATTTTAAGGGGATAACTTTCAAAGCAGGAAAAATATAGAAGTCAATGGCCACCATTTTTCAACATTATTCAAAATCTAATCTTTCATGTTTTTAAAAACAGGTTCGAAAGAAGTGGGAGTAAATTCTGTCAGAGTTTTCTTTTTTTTGGGTGATTTATTCCTTTAATTTTTTCAATTTACAATCAATACTACAACTTTTAAACTAACGCTGTATATTATGTAATGGACATGAGCTTATTATCTTGTAATGTTTGTGAAAGGTAGTTCTCCCCAAAATGAACTGTTATTCACCATTTAAGAATCACAAGAGATTTCAACCTTTTTAGAGGGTTTTTTTCTTCTTCTGTTGAACATATTATTTTTAAAAAAATATTTTGAAGAACTCTTGAGCGCAGACAGCTATTGACCTCAATTGGAGAAGAAAAAAAATGTTATGGAAGTCAATGGCTCCCATTTCCCCCCACTTTCTTCAATTTCTCTCACATGCTGTAAACAACAATAACTAATGAAACCATATTAGAAAGTGTTAACATTACTGAATACAATAATTAAGTTTTTGTGAACAATACCTAGCTGAATGATCAGATACTAATCTGAACCAGCTAAAATTACCATTTATTTAAAGAATATACCATTTTCTTTTTCTATAAAAAAATGTTTTTAATTCGATGTGCAAAACTCTCTCTTTATGACAATATAGCATTTTCATTGTACTAGCATACAGTTTTGGAATAAAATATAATTGTTTTTATTTTAAATTTGATATTCTCTGTCTGTTGTTTAAAAGATATGGCAGCGACTCCAAACATAGTACATTAATAATGATACAAAATGACTTTAAAAGAAAGAAACTAACACACTTTCAAAATTGGCTGAACAGTTTTATTCATTACAAAATTTGTAGCCTTTAAGAAAGAGTTAGACAGATGTATGGAGCACGTACAGCTGTAAAGTCAAATCAAACAAAAAACGAATTTGGTATGACATGGAAAAAAGGAACAAATACAAACTCATCCGGTACTTCTTGTGTTTGCACTGTCACTGAACAGAGAAAATGATAACTTGACCTTTATCTCTAAGAGCAAGTGCAGGACTTTCACAAAAATAAACAGCATAAAAACATGTCACAAAAGGGATGTGTGTTCCCTGACCGTGTTTCTCTTGAAATTCTTCATTCTCGGTGTACCAAAACAAACAGCCCCAGCAAACAGAGTACAGCATACTGTCGAAATGAACAAAAAACAAGAGTTAGACCAAATGCAAAGTAGGACATTATTAATTCAATATTTCAAAGTATACCTTAAATTTGGGGTAGTCGTTCATCAAAATTGTCACAATTCCGATGTAAGGCACAAACCTGTCAGAAGAAGAAATAAAAAAAATTTTCCCCAATGGAATGAAAAAACCCCCCCAAAAAAAACAAAAACAAAAAAAAAAAACAGTCAAACACTGCATCCCAAATGATACATTATACACTATACACTGTGTACTTAAGCACTTAACTGCTCAAAAGCGTACTATATGAATTAAGTGTTGTCCCAATTGGAACAATTTTGGTATTGGAATGTATTTTTACTAATAAGAAATTCAAACCATTTCCCAGATGACGTTTGACAGCTACAAAATTAGTGAATTCAGGGCTCGGAATTAACCTTAGTGCTTGATGGCACTGGTGCTCCTAACTTTAAAAATGTAGTCGCACCAAACAAAATTTAGCTGCATTAACAGAGAATTACATAATAACAGATTTATTCCATTTAAAATCAACACTAATCGAATCTAATTATCTGCTGTTACCTGCAAACTCAATCTCACCGGCTTTACAGTGAATGCTTTAGTCATTTTCATAGTGGACTTTAACCAATAGAAGTCTTTTATCCACTCTTCAAAAAGTGTAAATGGTGGATAAACATTCACCACATGATCACTAATCAGATGTAGAATTATTTGTAACTTTAGGTGGTTTTTAAAACAAAATCTGTCAGTGTTGTTTCCTTTTCTCATCTTCAGCTTACATTTTCCCAGTTGTAACTCCCTGTCATCTGTTGGCAGAAGGCGTTGACTAAGTGATTGACAGCTGATATTAACCAATCCATTCGAGTTCAATTCTAGAGCTGTGGGCCAATCAGAAAAGCTTATGCGACCAAAATGGTTGCAATGTCGGGCCTTGGAATGTGATAAATACTACTAAATAGTACCTACCCTGAGTACAACCGCATTCACCATCAGGAGGTGGCATAGTCACTTACGTCAGGGATATCAAACTCAATTCCTGGAGGGCCGAAGCCCTGCACAGATTATTTCCAACCCTGCTCCAACACACTTATCTGTAGGTTTCAAACAAGCCTGAAGGACTCAATTAGTTTGATCAGGTGTGTTTAATTAGGGTTGGAACTAAACTGTGCAGTGCTGCGGCCCTTTTGGAACTGAGTTTGACACCTGTGACTTACGTAGAAGAAATTTGCTTCACAATCCAAAATAATTTAAGTAATTCAACGCAAGTGTTCGATTGCTCCGCTAGGGATGTCACAATACTGGAATTTGGTACCTATGAATACTGATATTTTAAAAACATCCATTTCCAACTAATATTTGAGTGCTGTTGAGCATGTTCTAAAACGTTGCTGATTTGCCATTGTGTTCACATACACAACAGAAATTACTGTGATGGGCCGTGACGGTCATCAGTACACCAAACTCTTCGTATAAACACAAATACAGGCACACTGGAGCGTTTCAAAGTCACATTGATTAGCTGGTTTGTCTGTAAGCTGTTATAAGAGTGATCCGCTGATGAATCGCAGCTTTAAAATGCTCCATTAATTAAGGACAATTAAGGACATTTCTGTTGAGCTGTGTTTAATAATGTGCTCAACAGCTCTGAAATGCTAGTGGGAAATTAATGACTTTAAAATGTTTGTATCGATTGGTACCGAATTCTAGTATCGAAACAACTCTAATCTCTGCCCCTTCCACTTTGTAAGCAAAGCTGCAGCCGATGAGTGATGTTAAAGAACTGCATCATATGGGTACAGTGCACTTGAATATTTAATGAATATTTGACTAAATATAAAATGAATATTTTAGTTTGAAGGCACTATTTGTACTATTTACACTTCAAAATGGTGTAGAATAGTGCATAAGTATGCAATTTGGGATGCACCTAAACATCTGAACAATACAAAAATACAGCATATTGGGTTTTGATCTTACCCTCTTGCTCTGCCCACCACATCCTTCTTCTCCAACCAGTGCTGTCCTTGCTTATAAAGGCCTCTGTCATCCACAGAATTATTGTCACCTTTTGTCAAGAACTTGATATCGCCATTTTCTCTGAAATTAATATGAATAAATGTTACTGGAAAGAACAAAGCATGAAAACCAATCAAACTACACACATCATGATATGCAACTATACTACATACAACTATAATTAAACTGACAGGAATGCAAACTCATTAGGGGTTAAAAAGGGTGACAGATGTGAGTCTTCCACCCCCTGTTAAAAAAATGAGCAGATGTGCAGCTTTGTTGTTACGTCATTGTTTTTCCACTGGTGTTAGCTACTTTCAAAGCAAACAATACAAGAAAGCCCTTATTTGTTGCTTAGAAACGGTCGTGTTAAAGGGTTAGATCACCCAAAATTGAAAATTATGTCATTAATTACTCGGCCACATGTCGTTTCAATCTCCTGAGACCTTTGTTTATCTTCAGAAACACAAATTAAGATAGTTTATATGAAATCCGAGAGCTCTCTGATCCTCCATAGATTGCAACAGTCCCAAAATATTAAAAGTACAGTTGTAGTCAAAATTATTAGCCCCCCTGTTTATTTTTTACCCAATTTCTGTTTAACAGGGGGAAAGATTGTTTCAGCACATTTCTTAACATAATAGTTTTAAAAACTTATTTCTAATAACTGATTTATTTTATCTTTGTCATGATGACAGTAAATATTTATAGTAATATAGTATACACTAGATATTTTTCAAGACACTTCTATACAGCTTAAAGTGCCATTTAAAGGCTAAACTAGGTGAATTAGGTTAACTACGCAGGTTAGGGTAATTAGGTAAGTTATTGTACAATGATGGTTTGTTCTGTAGACTATCAAAAAAAAATTAGCTTAAAGAGGCTAATAATTTTGACCTTAAAATGTTTTTAAAAAATTTAAAACTGCTTTTATTCTAGCTGAAATGAAACAAATAAGACTTTCTCCAGAAGAAAAAAAATATCAGACATACTGTGAAAATGTCCTTGCTCTGTTAAACATTTGGAAAATATTTTAAAAAGTAAAAAAAAAAAAAAAAAAAAAAAGATTCATAAGAGGTTAATAATTCTGACTTCAACTGTACAAAAACATCATCAAAACAATCCCTGTAACTTCATTGGCACTTGGTGTGCCAAATTTATTTTGGAAAAGTGTTGCGTGCCTATATCTTCTCCATCAGCTCAGGTCAGTGTGCGCATTTACTATGGGCAGTACAGTGATTTAGCCATTAGCGTCAACAGCACAATATTTCAACGTCTTTAAAGGGATAGTAAATGCACAGAAAATCTTGGTTTGATATGGAAAACAATGGCAAACAAAGTTTTTTTTTTTCAGTTTTAATGGCACACAAAATTGTTCACAATTGTTCTAATTTAAAAAAGCAATCTTGCAAATATTTTCTACTGGAGATTCTCTTGTCCTAAAAACAAAACGAAATGAAATAAAACAAAACATAACAAAACCAAAGTACATACATTATAGGAACAGCATTACAGAAAATTTTGGCCATTTGAAAAACCTTGACTTTTCCAAACCACACTACAACTTGAAAGCGGTTATCATCCCATGCCTATTTGACAATATTTTTGGTTGCTTTTCTGGACTTTTTTTTAACCAGGGGTCTCTTGAATTGAATCTAAAATATCTTAATTTGTGTTCTGAAGATGAACAAAGGTCTGAGGGGGTTGGAGCAATGGTTAGTAATTAATAACAGAATGTTTACTTTTAACTGAACAAACTGAATAATTCATATTGACTAATTAGTATAGAAATATAAGCTAAAGCTT